TTTTTTTTTACGGTGTAGTTTTTAATCCTGTTTTTTTTCCTGTTCAAAGCGGCATTTAATTTCCTCTTTTAAGTTTGTCAGAAGGTTCAATAAACACTCCAATTTCAAAAGAATTAGAATTTTATGCCAATTATTAAATGGTTCAGGCAGTTAAGAGAGTTTACATGTGTTTTTTAGCACTACAAATATTGTGTGGATTAACGACGACAGCTCAAAAACACTGTTAAATTGAATTAATTTAAGAAGTGTCAAATTTCAACCCATCCCTATGTACTTCAAGGGGTTGTAACTCTGAAAATATTCATAGTATGAAGGTGAAATTTTCCATGGCTTAATTAAACATTTTATATTGTTGGTTGATTAAGATGAGGTTGAATGATCCTTATTAAGAGGGAGCATATTCAGTTTGTCCAACTAAGATAAATATATAATATTAAGAGTGTAAGATCAGATTTAGTGGCTTTCTGATGCACTCTGTCATTATAGTCCATTATTGGTAAGTTGATAAAGGTTACAAACTGGCTAATGTCCAATTCTCACACCCTACCTCCATCTGGTAAGTCCTAGAAAAGCTCAAGGTTGGGAATTGACTCCGTTTTTGGAGCCAGCCTCAGTGCAGGTGTGAAAATGTCACACAGGAGTCGTCGACTGCAGGAGCTGAAAACATGAAAAGATGTAGATCGAAGGCTTAGGCTGCATTATGCAACATCAAGACGAGCAAAGAAAAACAGGATGCACTGTGCAATGACAAAAATATTAATAAACATAAGTTGGATTATGCAAGGACAAACTAGCGCGGGGATGAAAGCTTGTATTCAGCTCACATTTTTCTGGCTTTTAAGTTCATGCACAATTACAACACTAAGCAGGCAGATGGTGCATAGGTAGGAGATAACAACTACACTAAAAGCCAAACAAATTTTTGATGATGTTGCAGACTACAAGAGACTGTTTTTGGGGGGAGGTTTGGAGCGACTGGCTTGATTGTTCTTGTGTAACTGCGAGCTGCCCGCCTAAGACAACAGTGAGAACAGATGGCATCAGATATCTGTACTGTGATTACTGCCAACTGTCTATTCTCAACCACAGATGAGATGGAAAGTTTCTACCTGTGGTGCTGATGCAGCTCCCGGCTACCTTTCATGAAATATCTCCTGCCTCCATGCACTGTCCTTCACCTTCTGCTTTCTTCCCCACCTAGGCCTGATCATCCACGAGGGATCGTCGGTGTATCGAATCTTCAAGCGATGGCAGGCTGTCAATCAGCAGTGGAAAGTACTGAACTATGAGAAATCGAAGGACTTGGGCGACCCGGTGAGTTCGAGCAGTAAGACAGGCGCTCGAGGCTCTCGCGGTAACCCTCACGGTCTGGCCAGCAGCAGCAGCGGGCGACCGAGCAGGAGGCTAAGAACTATTCTGAACCACCACTGTGGATACACCATCTTGCACATCCTGAGCCAGCTGAGGCCCAACGACCCGCGGATCAGCGCTGCCGCCAACCGGGAGGTGGTGATGAGGGTCACCACCGTATGAGCGGCACGACAGGATGAGACCCCGTCTTTTGTGTCCCGATGTAAATGACAGGAGGGACTTGATGTTGAATACTAAAGACTAAGTAACAGGAGCCCCGTGAGGAGCTGAGTGATGCCCGGAGCATCAACAGACAGCACACACGAGGGTTTCTCCTCTTGTTTCATACAACAAAAGAAAGCCAGATGCTCCTTTTCAATAATTAAAGAACTGATGAAAATACAGGATTAAAAAGCATTAAAAGACATCAAACGTGAAACATGTGAACAGGCTTTACAAACCTGATCCAAGATGGCGAGACGTTTTTTCCAGTTCAATATCAGGATGCACAGAAGCATTTTTTTCTTTGTTTTTAATCCTCTTGGTTTGATTTGTATCTCTTCTTCTTCTTCTTGTGTTTTTTTTTTTTTTTACTCACTTTGATTTTGTACGGATGTATGATTTTAGAGGAAATCATGTAACTCCATACATGCCAAGCATTTCCAGACAGCTATGTATCATGATCTTAAAAAAATTTCTACAAGCTAAACCGATGCTGGTAAACAGACCGAAAACTGAAACTAAACAAACATGTGGGCTCCACAGAGGTGACGACAGGACAATAAGTCATAATGAGTAAAAAAAAAAAATGAAAAATGAAAAAAAAGAAACAAAAAATAAAAAAAAATAAAGAAATCAGTAAGATTTCAGTTACACTTTTAACCTTTCTGCAATAAAGATACGTATGTACATTTCACAGGGAATTTTGCATGGGTATATAATTTTATTCTTGATCACATTACATAAGCACATGACAAAATTTGCTCTATTTCGAATGGTGCTTGCCAAAATAAACACTTAAACATCCAATTTCATTGCACCAACTTTTTGTCAGCAGGACAAATGGCAGTGTGTTACAGCTCTTTCAGCTAAAATACAGTTTGTTGCTGCTGTGTGCTGATTCAAATTTGATAATAAGTTAAATCATTGGATTAAAAAAACGGGGATCGGATGATCTCTTACTTCTCAGTCTCACTCAGTCTCTTATTTACCCAACCTGTAGCGTAACGCATGGTTTGGTTGAGTGTGTCATTGTTTTTCTGGTGTGGAAATGTAGTGATGTGCTGGAAATAAAGCGGGACATCCTTCATTTAGAATTTTTTTTTAAAACTTGATTAACCCTATTTACAGGGGATCAAGTCTGTTTTATTTCTCTCTTTTTCTGTCATATATCTATATACTGTTACTATGGTGAATATTCATATTAAACATGACCAAAGTTTCAAATAATGAGGTCAGCTCATGTGCAAATAATTTCTGTGATTTAAAAGCTCAGGCTTCACACTGATCTAAACACTCATTCTCAGGATGTTTTTTCCAACTCTTGGCTCTGTATGATGTCAGAGAAAGAGAGCGTCCCTAACATGGTCATCTCAGGCCATTTAACAGGTGACCAATCAGAAGAAAGTTGGCTTAATGCAATCATTTTCAGCTTCTTCTCCTAACTTGTCCTTGCCATCAGTGAAGTAAAGGTGTGAAGGAGAATTTATCAGGGGTTAGGAAAAACCCTCTTTATCACACATTCACACTTAGAATCGACTCCTTGTTTCATGAAGGAACCAACAGTGAAAGTATCAGTTACAAAAGCTGGACATTTTAAAGGAAAAGCATCATATAATGTAATGCATCTTATTTTATTTATCTTGTTTTACCTTCTTTTAGAGATGACGCAGTTTAACTCCTTCACCCCTCCTTGGTTCAGTTTAATGCGAAGCTATAAATCTAATTTTGTCTCATGCGTCACTTACCCCAGCTTCCCCAAAGTAAACACTAATTCACGAAAGGCTGCAATGCAGCAACAGATAACTAATGCAAAGTGAACCTTAAATGCATTTTGATCAATGAATGTAGATCATCATGTGGATTTGGAGAATTTATATAAATCATGGTGTCGTGGTCTCCTAACAAGTGATAAATAGACTTATGCAGCACCTTTAGCTGAGCACTCACAGCTAAATCCACCGATCTTCTGATTGGTAGCCCCACAACGAGCGAATGATCCCCAGTTTGATTCTGGGAGGAGACACAAATCCCCTGGTGGTTGTGTCGTGAAGGGCATCTGGTGTAAAAATCTGCCAAATCAAACATGCGGAGCGACCCGCTGCGGTGACCCCTGGTGAATAAGGGAGCAGCCCAAAGTAGCTCGGCTATTTAAATCTGTGAGCTTCGTGCGAGGCGGCTCGTCGATAAGCAGCAGATTTTGTTCCAGCAGTGTGATTTTCAGAGTTCAGCTGCGAGTTTAACAGGCTGCTGTTGAAAACATTTCAGCAGATTATGGTATGAAATAAAAAACACACTTATAATAACATTTACATGATATTCGCCTCTTTGCCAGTATTCCTGATCATCTTCATGAACGGTCAGATGGTCGGTCGCTGTGAATAACAGGATGGCATTTCCTCCTCTCTTCTCATAAAGGATGATTAAATCTATCGTCTTTTGAGGGAGGGGAGTCAGGAAGCACTGAAGCTCCTTTCTTCAGTATTTGGAGACTTCAAAAGGCTCTTATTGTGGCCCCCATGCAGATACTTCAATGCCATTTCACCTAGAAAGCTTAGTATTCAAACACACCCCCAATATAGGATGAATAAGCACTATGATTCATGCAAAGCTACCCTAAAAGACTAAAAGGATAAAAATAACATGTTGCAAATGTTGGAGTGTAGTGTACTATTGTAGTTTAAGACTGGATTGTAAAGCAGACGATTCAGCAAAAGGTGAGAAACAAACTGCATGACTAAGCAACTCCACCAGGAACATAACAGGCCATGCAACAAGGCAAAGAGGAGGGCAGGACTATCGGTGCATATAACAAGTGAATATCAACACAGACAGGAAGTGAAACCCAGAGAAAACAGGAAACAACCCTACAGAACACCAATAGAGGAAACAGGGGAGGCAAAAATAAAAAACTCAAGACAGGAAGCTAAATGAAATGATGAGTCAGTGCAAAGAATTTCACAGCAACAACCAAGATATTTTAAAATAAGAAAAAGAAATGTAAGTCCAACAGTACGTCTCAGATTTTAAGAAATTCTGCTGTAGAAAAGGAAAGTAGTCTGTCAGACTCTTTGGGTATAAATTGTAAAAGATAAATGTGTAAAATGACAAAAAAAAGTTCTGTTAGGCGATCGTGCAGACTGTCCTGTTAATTCACAGAATATATCCTTATTTTATTTTTTAGCACTTTTGTAAAAACCAAATTTCCATAGCAGTCGAAAATGTAGTGAAAAAAACAGGAGCTTTCTGTCATTTAACTGTTTATCTGCTACTTATGATTTATGCTGGTGCATTATGGCTGCAAAAATACAGTTAAAAATCTAAACTCTACGTCCTCCTTCACACTTTCCAAAGCCGCCCAGTGGGCCAGACTGGAGGCCCCGGGCTTTATTTTTGACACCCTTGGGCTGGAAGCTATGCATACCGTCTGAGAGGGTCTGTAAAAAGGAATGGCACTGGCATGAATAATGGGACTGGCTGACTGAAAGCGGCGAGTCGTAGTTTGTATTCCTTACTTGTGATGAGTTAGAGCAATGAGAAGAAGAGCCAGAGGGCAGGCTCGGTTTCAGGAGAGATGAAGAGACGGCAACCAGAGAATATGGATTTCAGCGGAGGGTGCAGGGCTGCAAGCATGGATCTCCACGAGGCAAGGCAGGTAAGTCTTACAGGTAGGTAAACAGTTTCCTTAAACACGACACAGAACAAGAGACTGGAGTTACATGGTGAGAACAGAAGTCATCAATGAGAGCCAAATTACTGCGATAGTGACATAGAAAAACATTAAACACGAGTCCAAACATAACCAGCCTCAGCGGCCATGGCAGCATAAATGTTCCCCTTTACATTTCAGGTAAAGACCTAAGAACTAAGACCTCATCCAATGCATGGAATACCAACCCATTTCACAAGCTTCAATATCATAGTTTTTCCTACCTTTGGTCATTTAATAAGAATTAATTGAGCCTGGTGTTAAAGAAAAGTAGTTGATCTTTAATCTTGCCCTTGCCCGAGGATGACAACCCAACAGCTGTGCAGGAAGTTTGGTGAAGAACCAGCAGAACAAAAGTTTATCTGAACAATTCTGACATGCAGCTGGTGGTGCATAAAATTAAGCCTCTGTTCTCTGACTTTGAGTCCATAATTTGTGTTAATATTTACATTCAAACATCAAAGTGATGAAGCTAATTACTTTATTTTACAACAGAAATAGTCTTGTGGCAAATCAACACACAGTCTTTACACTCGGTAAGGATAAAGGCTGCTCAGTCTTCGACCGCCAGTGAAACTGACTTCCTCCAGCTTCAGATTTCCTTTTTGTAGCCATTCTGTGTCAGCTAGTCCACAGTTACACGTTCTGTAGAGCTGCACCTGTGTGTTTAGTTCTAGCTATAAATGGATGAGACAGAATTTTACACTGACACGAGAGCCAGTTTAAAAACTGCAAAGGACCAGATCTGGCACAGTGTGAGATGAATAAGGATCTCACATTCAGCTTTGAGTCATGCAAAGCTGAATTCTGTCTGGTATGATCATTTTTTTCTGATACATCACTTTTTGTTGAACTGAAACTGAGATTTTGTTTAATAACTCAGGTTTTTAAGGCTTTTATTTAGCCTCTAATTCCTTTTTGATTAGATGGATGTAAAAAAAAAAAAAAAAAAGTCAATTTTGCAGTTTTTCAAATCTCGCAGTTTTTCAAATCTCGCTCACAGATTTGTTGTATTAATAACTGTGTCTGATTCACAGAGCCCAAGGTTGTTCAGCTTGGCCTCACAGCTGTTACTGACTAAATCTGACTCTATCTATATGCTTTTTCATTTTAAAAAAAATATCCTTACACTTAAAGGATGACTAAAAGTCTTTCTGTAAGAGCCAAGAAGATCACAGTTAAAGTCATAGTTGGTTAAAAAGCTTATTCCTCGAAGAGCAGGGTTCCAAGGTCCTTGAAGCTACAACTAGCTTCCTTCTGCTTTAAATTCAACAATAATCATCATCATCATCATCATCATATTGGTCACAATTTTCTAAGTAAGCCATTAATCTTAAATTATAACCTTGGGAAAGCTGGGCATCTTATTACTTTCTATAAGACTATAAAATAAACATTACCAGTATTGTGGCAACTGTGCTGGGAGCTCTCTGCCTGAGGTTAAAGTATTAACAGGCCAAACACAGACAAAAACAGCAAAAAGTATATTTTCTTGAGTATTTATGCAGCATTATCTGCACAGACGTGTCCGGTGAAGTAATGAGGGCTTCAACAGACATTCTTTTGTGCCCTGAAGTATGATGCAATACTGGGTTTTACTTAAGAGTTTGCATGACCTTAAACTAAAACATCAGACCAGAGCACAACAGTCCCAGCAGATGTCATCCTGAATCAGCTGACAGCCCAGCTGATTCTAAGCATCTATTTAATGAATCGCATACATACGCTGCTACTGCAGTCTGCTGCTGCACACATGCAAGCCGCTTTGCAAACCACTTCCATGAGCTCACAACACATATTTCAACACAAACACGTGACCCAGTCATAAAACAGGTCGGGAAATTTGTACCAAAGCCTCCACATGTGTGCTGACAAATGTCGTCAGCTCATCAGTAAACATCTCCTGCACAGTTATTTTAGTTATTTTAATTTTGTAAGTGAATTGACTAAAACTAAACTAGACTAAA